TGATCAAAAGGCTACCTCAGCCAGACTGTTTGCTCTTTAGGATTTCTAGGATATTGCTCCATCTTGTACCCTATTTTCACCCTACCCCTGTAATCAATAAAGTTCTCCTTTGTGACCGGCATGGGAGACTTATTGAGGGGTGGGTCTAAATTATGCCCAAGAGACCCCTTAGGTCTGCAGACTAAGAGAGACTTTACTTTTTGCCCCCTGACTTGGGGAAGTGTCCCAAGTGCCTGTACTGGGTCGAGTACCCGTAGGACTTTAGGCCTGTGTTTCCCTAAGGACACAGGGCTGAGAGTGAGTCCATTCTCGGGGTGGTGGCAGCTACGTTACCTCCAGGCTAGCGAGTGTGCTCCAGAAAGGGGGTCAGCCGGACGTAAGGCACCCCTAGGGAGGCATTCGGAGCCTGGAAGATGGTCGGGTGCAGGGAGGTGGGCGGCTCAACACAAAAGCGCCCCCTACTGGCCCGCCACACATGGTGGTAGGGGTGGGATCCGAATACCCTGCTGTTTTACAGGCATAATTTGGGAAGAGTAATAGAGTCACTGAAATCCCTTAAGCAAACATTTTCTAATTTGGCATCGGGTCGACTGGGTAGTGTAGATAGCCAGGATGGCGGATGAGTATGTCCAAATGACTGTGCCTGAACGAAAAGAACGGGCGAAAGAGAGAGGCCTTCATGTGAAGAAAGGGCTAAAGAAGGAAGAACTGATTAAACTCCTGTGCAACAATGACTCGGCCACAGAGCAACCTTCATGCACATCAACTCCTGAGTCCTCCCCAGAATCACAACCCCACACGCCAAGTCCACAGTCTTCAGGGAGATCAACCCCTACGGAGGAACGCTGGAAGTACCAGATGCGGCTAGAAGCTGAAGAGCGGGAGTGACAGAGCAGACTCAGGTATGAGCTAGAGTTGAAAAAGATGGAGCTGAAGGTGGAGGGTGAGCAGGGAGAGACGTGGCCGTAGGGCCAGCATGAGCGCAAAAAGGCACAGCTGGAGCTGAAAAAGATGGAGCAGGAGGAGAAAAGGATGGAGCTGGAGGCAAAAAGGATGGAGCTAGCAGAGAAGACAGCACAGCATGAGCACGAACTAGCGGTACTGCATCTGCAGCCCAACGGGGAAGATGCGAGCCCTCTGCAAGTGTCTGGGGGACACCCCCACCCCAAACCAAACTCCCCAGCCTTCCCTCGCTACCGACCCGGAGATGATCCCAACGTATTCCTCAGCATCTTTTAAAGGCGAGCCCGACTGTTGAAGGTGCCCGAGGAGGAGTACATGATGAACATGGCCGCTCTGGTAGATGGCGACATGGCGGTGGTCCTGAACAGCCTGCCCTCGGATGCAGCTGATGACTATGATACCTTTAAACAGGCTGTGTCTTCAAAGTTCAAGTTAGGACCTGGTTATTTCCGAAAAAAATTCCGGAATATTCGTCCACAACCCGAGAAGTCAATGGCTGATTATGTGGCCTTGATGTGGGATGCTTTCCTTAAATGGGTAGGAGGAGCCAAGGTTGACAATATCGAGAAATTGCACCAACTCATGGCACTGGACCAATTTTATTATTGCTGTCCAAGGGAAACTAAAACCCTAGTCAAGGACAGGGGCCCCAAAACCGTCCATGAGGCCACTGAAATTGAAGAACAGCTGTTGCTTAATCGTAAGGAGTCAGACAAGAAGCCTCCCTACTCTGGGAAGGAACAGAAAGGGTTCCTAAGGGGGAAAGAGAGGGCCAGGTCCAAAAGGGGAAAAGGGGCCATCTCAGACCGAGCGTAAAGAGGCCCCTGATTCGACCAAACCTCCCAACTCGGAAAAGAGGGGGTGCTATAACTGCGGGGAGCCAGGCCACATCAAGCCCAACTGCCCAAAGTTAAGCAACAGACCCAAGCCTGTCAGACATGCAACAGCTATAAGCATTGGGGGGGAGACCAGAGCCCCTCTGAGGGGCGTGCCTGTTGCTACAGGATCACAAACCCAGAGGAGGTGATGGCCCCCCACAGGACCAAGATAACAGTCAATGAAAGAACCCTTATTAGGGAACTGGACACGGGGTCCAGCATGACATTAATCAATGCCAACCTTGTTTCCCCTGCAGATATAATCCCAGGGAAGACCCTTACCATTCAAGGGGTGGGGTCTCCACCATTTGAGGTACAGGTAATCTGTCCACCCATCAAGTGGAGAGGCTGTGTGATGTGCATAGAAATGGGGGTGCTGGAAGAGGCTCCGGTCCCCATCCTGGTGGGACGGGATATTCTTGACCTAGAACTCCTGCACCAGGAGGTAGACCAGGTCCGAGAGCTAGAGCCCTACCG